CTTGCCAAACGGGAAAGAGGCACCTGTTATGTCTCACCTGTATCCACAAGTGAGCAATCAAAATTCTAAAGTTCCAAAAATATAAGCAACCAAAAACAAACCCCAACAAAGAGAACTGCTGAGGTTTTTCCAGTCCTCAGCAGTACTTCTGAAATGTTTGGCAATCCTGAAGTGCCTATAAATCACAATGCCTCAGATAATCTTCACAGTACTTTCGCTCTGACAAGACACTTTGCTTCTGGCAAATTTCTCAAGCCGATCCATTTCCTTTTATCCCCTAAGGGGGCGTGTTAGTCTCATTACTTAATCACTGGCTTGACGCTTCTTTCCCAATTGAGAATCTCAATCTCCATCTATTTCTCACGTCAAGCCAGGATCCCTCAAAGTCCTCCTCCTCACTTTAAACCTCTCGCACGTTTTCCTGATTATCTGTTACCGGCTGCTGCGTAATCAGAGAGGGAGTTTTGGGGGAGGGAGAGGGAGAGGACTCCAACACCTTCAATAAATTAGGTTCATCTCTCATAGCTAAGTCCACTTCCTCATCCCGGCTACCTTCAAAATCACTTAATAATGCAGGTTCAAATCTCATTGCCAGATCTTCTTCACTCGAGCTCCCATCTGCTGATGGACCAGATTCAAATCCCGGAGTCACAACAGGCACCCATCGCTTTCTTTTCAAGAACCCTGTACAAACTGGAAAGAAACTACAGCCAGCTGGACAAGGAAGCCCTAGTGATCGTTTCCGGAGTGAAAAGGTTCCACGAATACGTCTACGGTAGGACCTTTTCAATCATTACTGATCACAAACCTCTGCTAGGCATACTGGCTGGCAACAAGGCCACCCCAAACATCCTGTCACCTAGAATGACTAGGTGGTCTGAGTTCCTGGCCGCCTATAATTACCAGCTCATTCACCGACCTGGTACAGACATTTTGCACGCTGATGCTTTAAGCCATTCCCCCCTTCCAGATGTGCAAGACGACCCAGCACCCACAATACCAGTCCTTCAAATAGAAACTCTACCCAGCCCACTCCTGACCGCGCCAGACATTGCCCACGAAACAAAAAGAGACAAGCGGCTGGTGCGAGTCCTGAGCTGGATTGAGAGGGGCTGGCCAGAAAATGACAAAACCGAACCTTTTAAAGCCTTTAGGACCCAGCAAACTGAACTTTTCTCACAAAAAGGGTGCATACTTTGGGGAGACTGGGTGGTAATACCAGAAACCTTACAAAAACGAGTGTTGGACATGCTGCATGAAGGGCACCCGGGCATCATCCGAATGAAAGCCCTGGCCAGAAGCTACACTTGGTGGCCAGGGATGGACAAGCAGATAGAAACATGGGTAGCCGCTTGCAACAGATGCCAACAAACATGATCCCCCCCCCCACAGCACCACCCCTGGAATGGGAAACCCCGAGAGGCCCCTGGTCACAGATCCATATAGATTTCGCCGGCCCCACCAAAGGACACACTTTTCTAATTACCGTCGATGCTTATTCCAATTGGCTGGAAGTTAGCACTATGAAAACAACAACTACTGAAGCTGTCATAACAAAACTCAACAAACTCTTCGCCACACACAGTTTGCCAGATGTGCTAGTGTCCGACAACGGACCACAGTTCACAGTGCTGGCATTCAAACAATACCTGGCTGACCGTGGCATCAGACATGCTTTAACATCGCTCGCCCACCCAGCGGCGAATGGGCGGGCGGAACGAATGGTTCAGTTTACAAAAAAACCCATACAAAAAATTGAAGATGGCAACATTCAGGAAAAAATAAATAAAATGCTACTCATCCAACATATCATGCCGAACACTACCACAAACAAATGCCCAGCGGAGTTACTTATGGGCAGAAGACTCCGGTCACCACTAGACCGCTTACACCCCACCTATAACCCAGAAAAAAACCCAGGCTCCACCAGCCAACACCGCGCATTTAACATCGGCGACACTGTTTTTGCAAAGAGTTTCACTGGAGACCCTCTCTGGGTACCCGCACAGATCACCCAAATTACTGGACCCCGGTCATACCGCCTAGAAACAACCGATGGACGGAGCTAGAAGTGACACATCGACCAGTTACGGTCAAGGCTTGCCAGCACATCTCCCACAGACGGTAACAAAGAAATTGGGGGGGGGAACCTCAAACATTGGAAAAGGAAATTTCTTAACAGAACACCCCCCAATCAGAAGCCAAATAATCAACCAACCATGCTCACCTGAAAATGCAGAACTGTTGCAGACGGGTGCTTCACCTGGAAGGAGCAGCCGGACAAGCTCAACCAGCCCAGAGAATCCAGGCAGGAGCGGCAGAGCGAACAACTCGACCAACCTGGATGAACCAGGCAAGAGTCACAGCTATAGGCCCGGCTCACCCTTCCAGGCAGTTCCATCGAGATGGTTGAGAGCGACGCGGAGCCCGTCCGAACCTGGCAACGACCAGAGACATACTGAAATGTGCAGGTCAAGTAGGCAGGTCTGTAGACCCACCTACCTACGTGACTACGTCACCCCGCCCCTTGGGCGAAACCAAGAGGGGAGGGGTGTTCCATATTAGCAGGCTTGAAACCCTGCATTCCTATTGGTCAACAAAGACAATGACCTGATTGGACAGCCGAGACGGCTGTGATTGGTTCGCTGAGAGTCTACCGCGATTGGATGAAACCAATCACGGGAAACTCAAAGCGATGTCATTGGCAGCCTAGCCGCGGCCAGCTCTATAAAAAGAGCCACTGCAAGTGCTGTTTTTCACTCGGGACTAGCCTATAAAATAAAGAGCTGTTGTTCACTTGTCTCCATGAGTCCGACCTGCTGAACTTAACAATAGGTATGGTAGATAAGTAGGTAGGTAGGTAGGTAGATCTATATTGATAAATGAGTAGGTAGACAGGTAGGCAGGCAGGCAGGCAGACATTTTGGATGGATCGATAGACAGACAGACAGACAGACAGACAGATAGATAGATAGATCTATATTGGTAGATAGGTAGGTAGGTAGATAAGTAGATACAGAAAGGCAGGCAGACAGACAGGCAGACTTTTTGGATGGATGGATGCATGCATGTAGGGATGGATGGATGGATGGATGGATGGACGGACAGACAGACAGACAGACAGACAGAATTTGACAGTGGGAAAGTAGAGCAAAGCCAGAGTGGGAATTGAAGTCCACACAAGTTGCCAAGCTTGAGAAACACGGGCTGAATGTATCAACCCAGCCATTCTGGTTTAGAGTTTAGCATGCTGTTTGATTCTGGATTTGTCAATGAATAAACCATGGTTAAGATCTTCCTGCTCCTTAATGCAGCTGCCCCTCTGCCCCTTCTGCAGCCCCCTGCAGCTGCCCCTCTGCCCCTTCTCCAGCCTCCTGCAGCTGCTCCTCTGCCCCTTCTCCAGCCCCCTTTGGCATCCAATTTTGCAATGTCAACATCCCCAGGGCAGTAATGCAGCTGACCTCACCCTCTTTACTTCAACCCAAGGTCCACTTCCATCGGGCCAAACAAGGGGAGGTACTCTGCACATGCTCAGAGACTCCCAACTTCAGTGAAGCGTTCCGCCCATCTTTATACTCCGCCTGGGAGGAGGAAGGCGTGCGGAAGCAGCCCAGACCAGCGGAGGTGGCGGGAACGATCACTTGGAAACTAAGCAAGCAAGCAAGCGCAGGGCTCAGTAGGAAGAACCGGGCTGCAGAGGGAGGCTAGGTTCTAGGTCCGGGACAGCCACGTAGAGCCGAACCAAACCGAGCCACGTGCCTTGGAGAGCCGCAGCTGTACCCATTCTGTGCGCAAGCCCGGCTGGCTGGAGAGGCGGAGGCTGGGTGGGCACTGCGCGCTCCTTTGTTCTCCTCTGGGGAAGGGGGACCTAACGCCAGACCACCCACCCCTTTCAATGCGTGCCTTGGGAGGGTTTTACTTTCAGGCCTTCTGGCGCGCCTCCGCCACTTCCACCGTAGAGGGCAGCCTGCAAGCTTAAGGCGTCCTCTTTCCACCACCTCCCAACTCTTCCCTCCCAGGCTTGGCAAGGCTCACTGCACACGGGTTCTACATTCGAGGTGCCGGCTACGAAGCGATGAAACAGTCAATGGGCTGCGTGGCCGGCAGTCAGTGACCCTACGAGGCCAGAACCTTGAATGCCCCCCTGCCAGCCCCCTTGCCTCTTACTGCCCCCCCAAGGTATCCCACCGCCCCCCAGGGGGCAGTACCACCCACTTTGGGAACCACTGGTTTAGTAGAATAACATAAACACACACACACACACACACACAATGTATGGAAATGTATGTAATACCGATACTGAAGTGTTGCAAAAAATGAAAATTGTATTACAAAATGAGGAAAATTGTTCAATAAAAATATTTTTTAAAATTATTCCTAAAAGCAAAGTACAGACGTATGTACCTTTGCTAGTGAAATTTTGCCAAATGTTAGGAAGGGGATTCAAACTGTATGGCATACATTATCCATCTGTCAGACTGGTCCTGACCAGACATGTAGGCTAGAAAGACCCTCGACTCCATTTCTTGGTTCTTCTACTAAAGTCAAGTGGTTACAGAGAAAGCAAAGCTGGATCTGAGTAGTCCTGCTGAAAGGTTGCAATTTTCCCTTTCGAAAAAGGGCCTCCTCCCTTGACCAGTCCATTAGTGTCCAATAGTATCTGTTTTTGATGTTTTGAGAACAGCTTTCAAGGATGGCACCTCTCTGATGTAGTTTTGCATACATTCTCCTTGATCAACTGGTTTAGTCTGGATTGACACCTTTGGTTCCTGTCACTCTGTCATCCCCTTCTTTTTTCCTGCTCATTCCCATGCCCATTCCTTACTTCCCTAATTGCCTCCCCACTCCCATGCATTTTATGGTAGGATGCCAGCAAAGCAAAGATGCTGAAGATGGAAGGCCTGACTCCATCTACATTCTAGGCCAAATAATACAAAGCCCACCCACATCTATCATGCCATTTCTTCTGATGGTTGAAGCACTCATGTTTCTTCTTGCAGGCTGAAGGAGACAGAGGATCAAGTAATTTTGGTCAGAAGTCCGAACATCCCCCGTGGAGGCAACAGTGTCACAAATTACAAGACAGACTCTTGGTGTCAGAAGCCACCATCCAGGCACAGATAGCCCAGCTCAAACTATACAAAGCTCTACTCAGTGAGTAATATTACCACCAAAAGTGACAAGATGCATAGTTCTTCAACATTTGAATTACTTGGATGAAAATATGAAGGAAATCCTTATCAACTGTACAGTATGTATATACTTGACATAAAATTAGGCTAAATAGTTAATACCTGGAAGAGACAAGTGCAAATCAAAATAATCTTGAGAACTGGGCCAAAAATAACATTTAACAGTGACAAATTGCAAAGTATCTGTACTATTTTGCTGGATTTTGAGGAGGGGTGTTATTTATTTATTAATATTTTTATTTTATCTGCTTAGTCCCTCTTTAAACAAAAGGAACATGTTATTGAGTTGAAGGACTTCCAAAGAGGGTACCCATGAAAAAGCCTTCTTGCCAGCTTCACATCTAGATATTCCACATTTTTAGTAAAGATTAAAAGAAACCTAGAAAATGCATGATTGTGACAAAAAAGAAAACCCTTTGTTGAATTAAGTAAAGGAGAAGCTCCAGCAGAGTGAAAATTAAAAATAAAATCAGTGAAATTATCTCAGAAAGAAATTGAAATAAGAGGATGCTGAAAGGCATAGTTTAGCAATTTGTATGGAAACAATATCAATATGTGAACTGAAATCAATATTACTTAGTTGTATCAAAAATAATAATAATTAATTCAATGAGAAGGTTTAAAAAGTGTGTTAACATTCTGTTGTGATTGACAAATGAATGAACTATTTTCCTGTTTGGGAGTAGACAGGACATGATATTCCAGCTAAAATGTCTGAAAATTATTAAAAATTATATAATTACATTCAATCCAAGTTTTAAATAAATGATAAGTCTGGATGTGAAAAGTACTTATTTCATTTTAAACATAATGTGCAACGTGGCCATATAATTTCTAAACTTCAAAAACCCCAGTGCTTGCACAGCAATATGGACTGTTTCAAGAGAACATTCCTCCTTTCTGTAGAACTTTCTGCAATGGCAAATGACTACATAACAGTGTGTCTTCATAATAGTTTAAACAAAGCTGAAAAAGATAGGTCAACCACCTCATACATATAAATCTTTTCCACAAAAAGTAAGTGAAGTCTTCAGTCCATCTGCACAGTTTCTTTGTTGAACAGGCAGATACCATTGTAGCTAGTGGTCCTATCACAGATATCTTTTTGGATAATGTTCCATACTAGCAGGCTTGAAGACCTGCATTCCTATTGGTCCGGAAGAGTCGGACCACGATTGGACGAGATAAAGCACTCGTGTTCAGTTCCTAAGGGGCTTGCCGCAATTGGGTAAAACCAAGCGCAGCAAGCTCAAAAGTCTGTCATTGGCTGCCTAGCCGCGGCCAGCTCTATAAAAAGAGAATCTGTCTCAGAATTCTCAGATTCTGTCTCAGAATCTGTTCGCTAAATAAAGAGCTGTTGTTCACTACTCGTGCCTCGCCCACCAGACTTGACAAATAATCTCACCAAATTTGCTATCATGGTATTTTTAGTGGATTTTATGTACTTAATCATAAGTATGTGCACATGGAGTCCTCCAAACCTCATTGAATAACTCCTGCCTTTACCAGACTAAAACTATTAAGTTTTAAACCAAACTATTAGTATGCATGCCATATCTTGTGAGGATCTGGATTTCTGGCAGAAGATCAATGGAAAATAACTAAAACATTTCTTGTGACAGGTGAACCTGTGGTACAGCAGGATAACAAGCAGATGCAGGTGGATATGCAAGACCTGGGCTACGAAACCTGTGGGAGAAGTGAAACTGAGGCTGAAAGGGATGAGGCTACAAGCCCTGGTAATATAAGATGTTTCTCTAGCTGCCATCCTTAATGCTTTCAATTGTTTGACTTATAAAGGACTCCTAAATACTCTTGAGCAAAGAATTCTTAATATAAGAAGGTACAGAAAACAGAATATTTCAAAAATCCATTTTGGTCATCAATAATTCTTAGTCTTTTTGTTGTTGTTGCTTTGTTTTACTTAGAATGCAGAGATCATGATGAGCAACTAAAGTTTTGGAAGAAATCACTGGAGGCCCCTCTAAAAAGAGTGGTGAAACAGGAAGCATGGGTCAGCCAAAGTGATGCTGCTGCAGTTCTCCATCGGCATATTCAGGTCCTCCAGATGCAATTGCAAAGTTCCCAAAAAATTATCCAGAACTTACAAAGTTGTGTGCACTCTATATCCACTATCAGTGACTATGGTTCTATGGGAGATCAGTCATTCAAACTGAAGCAAGGCAATTCTCCTTCCCACAGTATGACTGATGAAGATGAAGCCTGGCAATCTGATAGCTTTGGGACTTTCTGCCCACCAAGTCTCCAGCCCAACAAAGATTTTTCCAGACTTATACAGAGAATATCCTTGCTGGAAGCTTATCTGAATGAGACTAAGCCAAAGGAATTTTTGCCACAGGAATTGAAATGTACAGCCTCCTTGGGGTAGGACATTCCAAGATGCAGGGATAAATATGATCAGCTAAATCATTGGCATAGGTTTCTGCAATATCACAATGGGAAATAAAGTATCTACTTCAAGAGGTTGGCTTTTACATATTCAAGCAGATGGTATGATGAAACTAAACTTCATTGGGCAGTTAATGTCTCTACAGTACAATTCTAGCTTCCTTTTTCTGATAACACCAAATAATAATTCTCTGCATGAAAACTACTGCAAGATAAGTACTAGATAAAATTAATATAAAACACTATATTATGTAATATATGAATCATTTCTGAATTATCCACTCTCCTGTTAAGATTTTGTAAACTCACTCTAGAATGTGAAAGTGGATTCAGCTCTCAATGATGAATGTATGAGATACTTCAAATGTCCTTCTGATGAATGGGGCAAAGTGCACAGAAACAAGGCAAAATTTGTTTCTTACTTGTTCTGAAGTTGGATCTCTTAATAACTTTGGCTAATTGTTTGCTACCTTTTCCCCAAGGAAATATGACTCACTAATCCAAGCTCAAGCTCGGGAGCTCTCCCATCTGCGCCAGCTGATACGAGAGGGACAAAAGATGTGTCATATGCTAAACAAATACTTCAAGGACACCATCAAATCCTTTGAAGAGCTTCTACGGAGCACTGACATTGACTACTACTTGGGGCAGAGCTTCCGTAAACAACTTGCAGAAGGGAACCAGTTGGCAGACCAGTTGGCCAGAAAACTGAATCAAGGTGAGTTCAATAGGCACTCGCAAAGTTTAAATTAGAAGCTTTATTTGGGGGTTTTCAAAATAGATTTCCTATAGCTTTCTTTCATCAGTACTTCTGCATTATAGCATAAAGGGTAGTGTTCCAAAAAGATGTACATCTCATACATCTTGAAAAGATGTCCATGCCCCACAGTTTGGTGACCACTAGACAATAGATGGACTTATTGAAAAAAAGTACTACACAATGCTACAGAAAGAAAGAAAGAAATGTAATGCAAGTGACAGACAACTCCATAGAGATACTGAAAACTATATGGGGAACTTGCATAAAGAGCCTGCATAAAACTCTATAAAACAAGTGTTGGAATTTCTGGCCTTAGTCCAGGATGCCAACCAAATAAGTGAGGGGTGCTGAACATAGTTGATTTCATACTTTATCACTATGAAACATGGAAATAAAACTGATGCACACCCTCTCTTTTTCTGTGTGTGTGTGTGTCACACACACACATCCCTCAACAATAAAATCCCATAAACACAAGCACAACTTAACAATGTGGGAGAAAGTTAGTACCCTGTATTTCATTAGATTAAGCCTAATAAGTGCATGTCCAAAACAGCTAATGGAACTATAGGTGAAAGCAAACCTACAATTAGGCTTTACAAGGTCATAGTATGTCCAACATAGATTATGGAGAAAACTATAAAATCATGGGCACAATATGTGAGTAGCTTAAAATGGAAGCTAGTTGGAAACATTGTAATGGCATCTTTTTTATTCTGTAAATAATGCTACTCTGTTTTTAATTTTTCACTAAAAAAAAAAAGGATTGGATTTCAAGTGATCGATACTTCTGGTTCTATGATGGAGAAGCTGCATAATTACTAACTTTTTAAAATTCTGTTTTTAGGGAATGATCTAAACATGGAGGACAAAACAAGTCCAGAATTGCTTATGAGGTAATTATTATGCATTGTTAGATACATGCTTATTTTGGAATTATCCAAATTACCTTGTCATTCATTTTACTGTATAATTTGCATGTAGTTGAGGGGGCTATATAGCTTGCAACTTGATAAGTGCTCATTTGTATTTATTTATTTTTATCCTTTTGGCCAAGTTGCTTGCCTCAAGAAAAAATTCCTTCTCAAATTGTCAAGAAACAATTGTCTTTCTTAATAAAATATAGGGTACTTCAATTTATTGAATACCTTGTGCTGGAATCTATTCCATACCAGTATGAAATCCTTTAGAGCAATAACAAAATTAATAATAATAACCCCACATCCTGTGACAATATCTGTAACACCATCAAATATCCACATTTGCCTATCTCAGTTCCTTGGGAAGAACTTGATAGGTGGGCGAAAATGTCAAGTCCAATCTGAACATCTTGCTGACTGTGCAAAGAATCATAATATTCTTCATGGGATTATTTAGATCATTTGCAGACTGTAGGAGTTTATTGGCTGACTAAGGGTACAAAGATCACAGGATCAGAGAGAGGGGAGTTATATATTCTGAAAGAGTGGGCTGTATCAATATCTTTGATAATCTTCAAGGTTTCCCTTTCCTCAGGATGAACAAGGAGCTGCAGAAGAAACAATCCATCAAGGCACTCCACGCAAAACTACAAGAGTGCTCAGTGACCTCTTCCAATAGCCATATTATATCTGAGTCTCCCTACTCTCATAGCAACATCTCCTTCCTCTCTGATGGTCCAGGGGTCTGCTCTGATGCGGATGACTTTAGTGAGAATAATATAAGTGAAGGCCAAGTCTACAATGTTCTAAACAAAGGTATAGAACTTAAGATCTGGAGGGATATATATCCTTATGATTTATACGACTGTTTCCTAATATGATTTGATTGCTATTGTACTCTATGAGTATCATTAAGTGTCGTACCTTATGATTCTCGACTCGATGAATGTATCTTTTATGTATACTGAGAGTATTTAGAGCAGGACAAATTCCTTGTGTGTCCAATCACACTTGGCCAAAAAAGTAATCTATCCTATCCTATCCTATCCTATCCTATCCTATCCTATTCTGGTTTGGCAAGTAAGAGAAACTGTAACCATGGCTGGAGGTTTTCAATAAAAGATTCGTCCAGGATAGTATAAAGTCTCTTGCTTTGGGCAGGGGATTGGACTAAAAGACCTCCAAGTTTTCTTCCAGCGCTATGATTCGATAAGATTAATAATTCTATCTTATTTATTTGACAAACCAGAGTAATCTAATTATAAATAAGTTGTTTTCATCTTATCCTAGTAAAAGGCTAGTAAAAGGAGAGGTCTAGGACAACTAGCTGCAGCCAGCTTGGTATGGCCAACTCACCTCTGCTAACTTGCTCCCACCAAGTTGCCAACAGGAGAAATCCACACAGCCAACTCACCACAAGGACAACTCACCAGCGGTGGTTGGAGGGAGAGCTGGGTGGATGGAGGAGCAAGCAGAGCACACAGCATGGTGGCTGGGGCCTTCATATTTTCAAACCCCTTGCTAAGGGGTGGGATTCAAAATTTTTAACAACAGATTCTGTAGGCATGGCTAGGTTAGCATGGCCATGTGACTGGGTGGGCGTGACTTCTTTCTTTTTTTCAGCAAACACACACACACACACACACACACAATTTTTTTTGCCTCCTGAGCCTCAGGGAAGCCTCCTGTGGGGGGCATTTTTGCTCCCAGAAGGCTTCCCTGGGGCACAGGAAGGCAAAAAATGGAGTGGGGGGGGCACAGCACCCCCACACACACCTTTTTGCCTCCTGGACCTCAGGGGAGCCCCATGTGCGAAGAAGTAAGACAGCGAGGGGGATCCTGGCACAGCTGATCATCAGAACAGCTGATCGTCGGAAGGGGAACAAAAAAGAAATACCTTAAGGAGTGACTGGGTGGGGGAGAATGCAGTCAGAAATGTCGGGCATGCAAGCAATGTTGTGCATGCATGATAAGGATTGATTCAGCAGGGAAGGGAGGGGAGGGGAGGGCAGAGAGGGGCGAGGCTAGCCAGGGTCATGATTTGCCGGTTCTCTGAACTGCGCAGAATCATAACAACCGGTTCTATAGAAATGGTTCGAACTAATAGAATCCCAAGCCTGCCCTTGCTGCTACTGCCACTGCAGCAGGCTCTGAGCAGAAGAGGCTGGAGACAGCAGTGGCAGTCAGGTTGAGTGGTGGGAAGGCAGCAGCAACTGAGGGATTCCCATTTTCACACAACCCACTGCTGCCACATTGGGCTCAGGCCTGTCGCTTAAAGCCACTGCTGATGTTGCCACCATGCTGGCCTTGGAACAATGGCAGTGGCAGCTGTTTCAAGCCTGCCATGGCAGCAGTGGTTTCAATCCCAGTGTGGCAGTGTACTGGAGGGTAAAAATAGGAAGTCCTTGGCCACCACCATATCTCTATCACCCATCCCAACACACTCTGAGCTCTGCCCACCCACTCACTCATCCTGCTCTCCCTTCAGCTCCCTGCAATGATTGGCTGTGTGGAGTTTTCCTGCAGTGACTTGGGAACAAACAGTTGGCAGTGAGCTGGCGATTTGAGCTGGCCACGGTGAATTATCCCATTCTATAAATTGAGTTCCAAAATCTGATATTACTTTGTAATCTTATGAGTGGCATCACTTCTGTTTCTGTAACCTGACTCTCTGACTCACCAACACTGCCTGCCACTTCTGGACTGGTAGGCAGTGTCGGCAAGTCTCCTCCAAAGGCTTCCAGTCTTGGCGCGAAAAAGTGTTTGCATACCAATGGGAGGCTTTGGAACAGCAAAATTGTGTTGCTTCAAGCCTTCCATTTACATGCAAACACTTTTCACATGCAGAATGGAAAGCTTCTGGGTGCCCTGATCTTGCAGGACTTCAGGCACCCATTCTCTGCAAATGTAGATGGGTGCCTAAAGTCACGTGAGATCATGGCCCCCAGAAGCTTCCCATCTCCAAGTGAAAAGTGTAAGCATGCCATTGAGGCGCTGTGAGGTGGGACAATTTCACCACCCCACAGCATCCCATGGGCATGGAAATGAAGTTTCCCTTCTCCAGGCAAAATGTGTTTGAGTGCCAATGGAGTGCTTTGAGGTGGCGCAATTTTGCCATCCCAAAACTTCCCATAGGGGCTCAAACACTTTTTGCCCAGAGAATGGAAGTTTGGTTTGCATGCCTATGGTTTCCATTTTCTGGGGAAAAGTGTTTGAGCATCAATGGGGCATTATGGGGTAGCAAAATTGCACCACCTCACCACACCCAACAGCATGCACTTTTCACCCAGAGACTGGAAGCTTCTGGGGGCCATCATCTTGAGGGACTTCAGGCACTGCTTTGGCATTGAATAGATGCCTGAAGTCCTGTGAGATAAGGGCACCTAGAAGCTTCCAGTCTGCACGTGAAAAATGTTTGCACACCATTAGGAGGCTTGAAGCAATGTGATTTCGCTGCCCCAAAGGCTCCCAACACTTTTTTGCACTGAAACTGGAACCCTTTGAAGGAGACTCACTAAGGCTGCCTGCCATTCCAGAAGCACCCTCAGTGAGTCAGAGAAGTGGAGCAAGGTGCACTCATCTTGCTCTCCCTCTGCTCTAATTGCTTTGCTTTTGGAACTCTGAGAGCCGGCAAAGAAATTTCAGCAAAGAGACTGGAGAGGAGACAGCTTGCCAGATCTTCACAAGGTAAGTGTGTGTCTCCACTGGCCTGCTTGTGGAAACCCAGTGTGGCAGGATGGTGGAAGAAGCAACTGTGGGGAGCATGAGGTATCTCAGTGGGTCAGGGGAGGTCTTGGGTGGTCTTAAGCAGGTGGTTTATTTTATTTTATTCTCCTCCCCTCTCCTCCTCACTCCACTCCTCTTTTTTCCCCGTCCTTCCCTCTCAACCCTTTTCTCCCCATCATGCCTCGTCAATCTTTTCTATGTTTTACTCTTCCTGCTATTTACTTCCCATGTTGAGAAACATTATCTTTAATTTTGTAAACACAGATACATTGAAAGATTTTTTTAAAAGAAAAAAATATCAATGACCTTAATTCAACTCTCACTCTTCAGTATGTGGTCCATACCTCTTGAAGCCTGGTTGGTAAACTGCAAGAATGCAGGAGCAACTTGTTGAGGGGCATTCTGTTGGAGCAGTGTGAGAAGTAGTTATAACAGTTGGGCAAGTTGGCCAAGCATAAACTTTGCCAGATTAACTGCTAAGATCTATATGAATTACAGAAAATGGAACATTCAATAAATTTTCATACAGAGAATAACACAGCAACTAGTGAGAAGCACCAGACCCATGAAGGTTTCTGAACCAGAGATACAATGTTTCTCCTCTTACTAAATACAGCTAAATTCGACATCATATTTGTCTGTGAAACATGGCTCAACGCATCTCTCCCTGACTCCATTACCACAGTAAGAGACTATCATGTTTACCGATCAGATCGTGAAATCCATAGAGGAGGTGGAGTTGCTATCTTCTATAAAAAGTCCTTACATCTAAAAAACATCCAAGTTACCCAAGAGCTTGCTCTTCCTAAGACCATCGTCTGTGAACTGTCCTTAAATTTCACATTTCAATTCTTACTATGTTACAGAGCCCCTGATTATGACATCGAACATGTAAACAAGCTAAATTCACTACTAACATGGGCAACAACCTGCCCACACACTTGTATCTTTCTTGGTGACTTCAATCTACCTCACATTAACTGGACCCTAAATGAATGTATAACTGAACCCATACGTGCAACCTTCTACAATGCTGTAACAAATCTGGGACTCGAACAACTAGTAACCAACAATACTAGACTTAACAACTGCCTCAATCTCATCTTCTGCAAAAGTTTGAATTCAATTTACAGAATACAAATTAAAGAACCCTTTTCCAACAGTGAAGATGTCATGAGACCCTTCAACAAGTCTATCACTGATAACCCGGTTGGATGGAAAAAACTATGTTTCCTGGTCTATGAAGTGCAATCTACTTCTGCATAGAGAAGGGTTATGGAATGTAGTTCAAGACCCACTGGATGTAAATGCTTGGGATCCAGAAAATGAGGACAATGCCAAGAAGCTTGCTGACTTTAAACAGAACAACGAATGAGCTCTTTGTATAATTGGACTAACACTGAGTGACCAGCAGCTAGTCCATATTCATGGAGAAGTGTCTGCTGCTAGGTGTTGGGAGAATTTGAAGAGGATTTATGTTCGTGACAGTGTAGGTGCACACATACATCTTACACGTAAACTGTTTAGAGCACGTCTTCTGAAAGGTGGAGATATGTTAGCTCATTTGAACTTCATGAAAAGAACTTTTCAAGAGCTACGTGAAAAGGAACTGATATTTTCAGAGCTGCATCAAGTTTACATCATTCCTTCTTCATTGGATGAAAGTTGTGATGATTACGTATCTTTACTGGAAGTCCTGGCCAGAGATAAACTGACATTGACTGACAAAATTGGAAGGTTGTTAGAAGAGGCAAGAAGACGGCTGGATAGGGACCAACTGAGAAAGGAACAACCACAAGAAGAGGATTTGTCTTCAACTGCCTATACCATTAGGAAATGTTTTTCTTGTGGGGCTAAGGGACATATAGTGAAATTCTGTAAGAAGAGAAAACAACAGAATACTGGCAATCACCAGAAGGCTAAGAAGAATGTTATTTTAGCTATGTCTAGCAATTCAACTGTAAACCATGATTTGTGGATAGTTGATAGTGGAGCATTGCAGTGCATTACTAAAAATAGAGGTTTGTAACTATGTCCACGAGTAAGCAACATGTATCATTGGCAAATGGATGGAAGATGAAAGCATCTGG